GGGGGAGAGAGGCTTGAGGAGTGGGGTGGGGGGTGGGGGGTTTCACTGTTCCCAGGGATCCAGGAATCTGCCAGGGCCTGAACAGGCCCCTACTGTCCCGGGGCTTATAAAACCGCACAGCTGCCCTCAGCCTGGGAGTCTGTCCCAGGGCCAGGCCTGGTCTCCATAAAGAGAGGAGAGAGGAGTGAGCCAAACCACCACAAGACATGGGCCCCAGCTCAGTGTGGGAATGGGGGCTTCTGGGGTAGTGGATAGGGGTGGGGGTATTGAAGAGTGGGTCACGGTTTGATTCCGGTCAAGGGCACATGTCAGGGTTTTGGGCTCGCTCCCCAGTAGAGGGCGTGCAGGAGGCAGCCGATCAGTGATTCTCTCACCATTGATGTTTCTATCTCTCTCTCCCTCTTCCTTTCTCACTGAAATCAATAAAAATATATTTTAAAAAAAGATGATGGACATCCATTACCTCTGATAGGTTCTTTGTTACCTCTTGTAAAACCCTCCTTACTCTTCCTCTCCATCCCCCCGCCCCAGCCTCCAGGCAACTATTAATTTGCTTTCTGTCACTGTGGTTCTTTTTTCTTTTAAATCCTCACCCGAGGATATGTTTTTATTGATGAGAGAGAGAGAGAGAGAGAGAGAGAGAGAGAGAGAGAGGGAGAGAGAGAGAGAGAGAGAGAAATATCAACGTGTGAGAGAGAAACATCGATTGGTTGCCTGACTGGGGATCGAACCCACAACCGTTTTGGCGTACAGGATGATGTTCCAACCAACTGAGCCACCTGGCCAGGGCTGTGATTCGTTTTTATTTTCCGGAATTTTATAGAAATGGAACCATACAGTGTGCACTCTTTTGGTCTGGCATACATATTTTGAGGTTTACTTACGTTATTGTATGTATCGATATTTCGCTCCTTTTTACTGCTGAGTAGCATTCCCTTGTCTGGATGTATTACAATTTGTCGGTTCACCTGCTGATGGACATCCGGGCGGGTTCCAGTTTGGGGCTATTACAAAGAAAGCTGCTATGAACTACGGATGTTAGGTTACTTCTCCCTCACAACCCTGTTAATGAGATGGTCATGATTTCTCCCCATTTTACAGTTGAGAAAAACAGAGAACCAGAGAGGTCGAAGTAACTTGTCCGAGGACACACAGCCAGTAGTTGGAGCATAGAACCTTAAACAGTGGGAATGTTTGAGCTCAGCGACTTAAGGGAACCTCTACAGTTCAGAGGGTTCCAGAACCCCTAATCGAGGCCAGCCCCTCAGTTTATAAGTGGGCATATGAAGACCAGATAGGAGCTGGGACCTGTCCGGAGCTGGTGAGAATCGGGGTGTCTGGTGGGCAGCCTGGCGCTGTGTCTAGCCCTGCTCTGCCTCATCCTGGCTCTTCACTGGGTGTGGGGGAAGGATCGGGCCTGTCTGGGGAGGGACAGGGATTTGCCCTTTTTTTTTCCAGGAAGTTTTCATTTCAGGATTCCTCCGGCTGCTCACAAATAGCAGGAGGATTTGGCACTGGCTCCAGGGCCCGGGAGGTTTCCCCACAGCTGCGCCCCTCTCCCCAGGCCGGCCCAGGGTTTATGGAAGCAGCTGCAACGTATAAAATAGCCCGGCTCATAAATCCGCTCCTGCCAGGGTCCCTGATGCCAGAGGCCCCTGCGATGCCCGTCACAGACCCCACCCCCCACGGGGGCCCTGCAGGGACGCCCGGGGTGCCCTGCAAGGCTGGAGGGTCCAGGTCTGGGAGGAGCCACCTGGGGCATCTCCCTTGGGGTTTGGAGAGCCAGGCTCAGCTGGAGGGTCTGGAGGGGAAAAAGGAGAAACAGGATTGCCAAGGGGTCAATGACTGGCGACAGCAAGGGGAGGA